ATACTAGCAGGAATACCTGTCATTGGGGAGGTGGATTGGTGCACAACCTTTTTGCAGTGGCCTGATGCCTTTCCTAAATTTGGGGCATATCTCCTGTGATGCAAGTTGCACCCACCGATTTCCACAGAACATAAATGCAAGAAAGACCAAGCAATCCGGAATAAACAGCACTAGTCCATGCTGAGGCGACATGAAGAAGTGGAAGCCCGAAGCTGCCAGCATCAACCTGGGCACTGTAAGTCTTGGATGCACGCACATCACCAACAAGGTCAAGGTTGCGCACTCTCGAAACTAGTAAAGTTTATAGGGATACTGCATCGCGGCATCGACTCAAGGCTGGCTTCGGGTTCAAGGCCGAAAAATCAAATCTTTCTGCAAAATTTCTGGCAAGCCCCTTTGAGCCAAAACTCACACTAGGTGTGGCTTGCACCAGCTTGCGCTGGCACATTCAATATTCCTGCAGATGAGGATGTTTCATGAGGTGCATGCGAAAAATTGTTGATATCCTGCTCCAACCCAGCGTCCTTTGAGGAGAGTTGGCAGGTAGTTCTTTGTGCTAACTTTTGCAGTTCCCAGTTCGTACAGCTGTTTCAGCTCAGATTGCCTTCTAGTATTCTTACTTGCTGTCCAAAGGTCATTGGAAAATTCGTGTGTGTACGCGCCTTATTGTTGTCCCAGCTTTGGGGTTTATGTTGATGTTATTGAATGTGAAACGCTGAGTTTGAAAGTTGACCTAGCCAACTCGTAAAGCCGCCGCCAATTGCTGGGGCCTCGCGCCCGAGGCTCTTGGGAGAGATTCCAGTTGCCAGTGCAGCCTGACAGCCAAAATCAACTTCGTAGCTCCGGTTACAAGGGAATATACTCCACGTGAGCTTGACCGCTTGCAATGCTTGCCATTTCATGGCTGTTGGAGTACGTCTAAGGCAAGCACTGCTGCCCAGCCCGTTGGAATCAGGAGACCAACAATTAAGCCAGGTTCTGTATGCTGTGTAGATAACACTTGACAGTTGGAGTCTTCCCTATGCACAAAACCAGCTGCTGGTCAACTTTAGAGTGCAGTAGGTGGATTGAGTTGGTAGATGAAGAGCTCAGCATCTTTGGTACGACAGGTTGACGAGGCCGTTCAGATCACCAGAGAGGAGGCTTTGGACTTGTTGACACTTTGTCTTGTCAGCCTGTGAGGCATTTGATATCAGAGGAGCGTCCTTCCTATCACATGACTGCCATGTGCAAGCGACAGCCGCTAGAACAAAAAATGCGGGCCGCCTTGCGAACCGCTGCATGACATCTCACACTTCGCACGCATGCATTGTGTGTGTATCATATCTGCTCGAACATCTGAGTGTGCGCCGGTGGTCTTGCGTGGAAAATCAGGAAACGGGAGTCCCTCTCTTCAAAAGCTGACAAGCCATAGCCACGTGTTTGGCTCCATATTCCTGGTTTACAAGCTGCAAAACAAAGCTTCAAGGAGGAGACACCCATAGCCAGAACATTGACCGATCCTGGCACAGCATCATTACTCGAAAATGACAACAAGCTGGCCCTCGTCCCGCAGTGGACACCAGATTCAAACTTGCCTTCCAAGCCGTGGGAACAGAGAGGAGCCCGCCCGGGAGCAGGAGAACCACTGGGAGCAGCACCTTGAAAGTAGCCATCGGCATCTAGCCAAGAAAAATTGTCAATCCTACCGCACGACAGTCCAAACACAATCTGAGATCCATGGATGGCAGCCGAACGCATGGGGTGGAAGTACACATTGTCTGCCAAATGGAAGGTTCTCTACAGTACACGTGTACGCGTGTCTTGTCATGACATCGTTGCGACATTGCTGATGGATTCCAAAAGAGCCAGCATGACAAAAATTCTGCCGAGCTTGTACAGTATAGTCCAGGAAACAACACCATGTTCCCGGACTCGTCATATGCTTTCAAATGCAACAGACTACCAACGGTAAGAATTGCAAGTAGCCTCTGGGGAGACAGATATCCTTCGAATGCCAAAGCACAAGCGTGGCCACTCCCGTGAGCACGGCCAGCTGATTTGTCTTCCTCTGTGTCTTGTCCTGGCTTCTAGCTCGCAGCTCACAGATCAACTTGAGGATCTGAGTCCTCTTGAAAGCGTGCCTTGCGCAGCAGGCTCTCAGGATTCCCCGAGCTGTTGAAAGTGAGGGGTGTCTTCTAGGAAATGGTTCTGGCTCAAGCCCAGATCTCAAGCACAACAAAAGCGCTGACCGACAAAAGGAAAACTGCTGATGCTGGGTGTGGTCGCACACTGAGAAAACCAAACCTGAATCTCAAAGATACGCTACCATGAAACCAGGGGTCTGAGATCCGAAATCCCAGCGTGCCTACCAAGCTGAACTTCCCATGTTCCAAACAACAACGCTACCAAGCCCAAGTCTTGGCTCACCAATCTCATTTCCAAACAAGGGTTGCAAATTTCCATGCTTCTGAACATTTTTTCTCAGAATGCGGCAGTCGATAGGAGCCCCGAAAAAAATCAAAAAAATGAAAAATCACCACCTCTCCCATGTCACCGACATCGCCGAACTTCGTAGCCAACACGTTCCGGGTAACCTGAGCAGAAGTAATTCCTTAAGCGTTGATGAATGCTCTGAGGGGATGTAGTCATGAATGAGGTTAGGCACATGTGGGCGTAGCCCTCCAAAATTCGACACGCACATGCAGGTACAATATACAAAAAGGAGCAAGATCGGCACAGACTAACGTCATGTTGACTCTGTTCCGCCTTGACAATTTCAGGTGCGAGGGGCGCTGATTTGAAAATTACTCTGAATATTGAAGATTAGCTGATTGGAACATGAGCCCGAGCTATACAAGTTAAAAGAACTCTTAACGTAGATTAATCTGGAGCCTCAAAATGCAAGTCCCCGACTTACAAATCTACATCCAGCCAAAGCGCAAAGAAGAAGTTGGATGCCATGGCTGTCAAGAAGCCGAACCTTGGAAGATCACTGCCCACTAGAAACAACGGAACGCTCTGAATGAGACTGCCTACGATTCAGGGCTTGCGCGATCTTGCGCGTCTCCGTCATGGGCAGCTTGCACTGAGCAACCGGGATTCAAGAGTCCACGAAGAGTTGCCTTGTCAGAGCTGGTTACAAATGTCCAATGTCCAGCCTTGATGCACATTGTTGAGCATGCGCAGATCGTATTGCAGCAAGATCTTGCTCCAGGCTTCTGTTGTAACCAGCCACAGAAGCGTCAGCTTCTGAACAGGAGCTGGAATAGGAGCTGGCCTGGTGGCGGCCTTCCGGTACCGAGTTTGCCTAGGAATCCCTGATAATCCCTGCATCCCCACAACTTGTTCTGGTATTCAGGCCCTGAATACCTATGTAGGTGGTAGGTTGTCAAGATTCTGTTCCCCATGAAAATCTGACAAGTAGCTTTTTTTTACGCTGCTCAACCTCCCAAGATGATGATTGGCAGTGCTTGATCACTGCGTGCATATACAGATACAGCCCAAGCAAAGCTTAATAGTTCCTGAGACTGTCTGCTTGAGAACACAGGCTCCTCGCTGGTCACGGAGCTGAACGTTCACTCGCTGAGGCCATGGCATCGTGAAGGACAGCTCCTGATGGACACATGCACTCCTTCCGTGTGAACATTCAGGAGGATGGCAGCCGCAAATCTAACTGAACAGCAATGGATGGGACCCTCGGCCCTTCAGCTTCAACGCTCATACAATAGCATGACAGCTGCAGGGGCAGGCTTAGCACGATCAGGTTGCTTTGCGCCTCTGCTGGTGTTTCCTGACTGGATAATAAAAACTGAGAAGAGATGATCTTGGAAAATTATCATTGCATATCCCAGCTCACCGAGACCAGAGTCCTGCCAAATCCAGACATGCAAAGCGCGCTCTTTTCAGTCATGAACAGCTTGAGAAATGCACACCCCGCTACTCTGCAGGAGCCGATGCTGGTGTTGCATAGCTGTCCTTGGACGAAGCCAATGCCACACCAGCGAAGACCTTAAGCTGCTTTTGCGTTGGCATTCGGCGTCGGACACGCCAGAGGACTGCGACTAGCGACACAGGAGAAGCCGGATGATACTGTGCCAAGTCACAGGGAGGAGCGACGCGTAAACCATGGGGTGGAAAACCTGCGGATCTCGGATGCTGGACTGCCCCGAGTAAATCGGACCGGTGGCTGAAAACCAATATAATACTTGATTTCAAGTCCCTGCTCATGGTCGGGTCTGGCTCAATCCATTGCGGCAAAATCTCAGAGTGGAACATCCCTAAACTTGATACCGAAAACAATGCAGCTGGCAACGCTCCAAACATTATGAATCCCGTGCTGACATGCCATACATCCACAGTATCTCTTCCCAGCGCTGCGGCAATCAACAGTTTGTTCTATGCACACGGCCGTGTTCATACTGGCTATCCTTCAGAAATAAACATGAAGCTGCCTCCATACTGCAGCCCTTCTTCCTCATTGAGACCAGAAAACCTTGGACCCCCCGCACCTGCCCCAGCACTAGAGCAGAGGCGATAGCGTTCACGGCGGGCTCCAAGGCCTTCCATGTAAGGTTTCTCTCTTTTTTTTCCTGGGTAGTCGGTGGCTCATGGGCAAGATGGTGCAGGTTCTCAGCCGTCGTGCCAGGTGTCGACTTTGACCATGGCTGCAATTGGAAAGGTTGCTTCAAACAGTATCGCATGGTGCTCCAGATGAGGAGTTCTAGAATGAGAGAAGCAAGCAAAGCACTTGCATTGTTGCTAGGAGGCGTGAACTTTCTAAGGGGAGATGTTCCCGCTGTCTGAACTTGTGATCGCAGGATGCCCTACCTGAAAGTTTGAGGCCAACCGTTGTTTTTTTGTTTTGTTTGGCAAGGATTTTGAACCATTTTGGATGTATCGTCTGGGGGCCTCATGCCCAGCCCCTCATGCGCCAAGTGCATACAGAGGACTTTCTTCAACCTCAAGCTACAAAGCTACAACGAAATCTTGAGAAGTGCGGAGATCTGAAGAGCTTGTTCTCAAGGATGGCTCCTTTCTTGCACGAGCTCGCGCGCCTCCAATTTGCCCACTCTTTTCTCTGAACCCTTGTTAAACATCTCAACCCTGCAAATGAACACGGAAGTTCTCCGAAGCTCAGCGAAGCTCAGACCCCTTTGTGCCTTGACCACATGCGTGAAGGATACCGCCACGGCACCCAGCGAAGCAACCGTAGCCACCTGGCAAGGCATTGGAAGTCACAACTGTATGAGCCATTGCGAAATCCTGTTTCATGCTGCGTGGGTGCGCGTCGCATGTTGGGGTTTAGAGTGACATGGAACCTGAGAAAGCTGCCTCCGGGCTTTACTCCCTGCAAACAGCCTGCTGGATGCAGAACCATTTCCGAAGGCGGAGCTCAAAATCAGATTCTGAAAGCTTGAAACATGAAGGTATGAGCAAGAAGATCTAAGCCCAAGCGTTGAAACATGTGATTTCACGTTCTCCTGCCTGTAGCATCTACCAGAGAGTCCACCAAAACAGGAGCTTAGCCGCTTGCTCCAACAAGGACTTCATGCCTAGGCCCCATCCAGACCCTACACTCTTATCCTTCACTGGTGTACCTGGCCGGCGGCAAAGGCTGCGCCCACAGGGGCCAACTTTGCATAGTCGCTGCCCGTCATTTTGGGTGCCTGCAAGGTTTCGAGCTGTCAGCGTGCTGCAGGAGCTGCGGAAAATCTTAGATTTAGTGAGCGCTGGCGTGCTGCACAAAGATGGCCCAGCGTTCAAGTTTCATCTCCTGCAAGCGGTACGCCAAGCATAGTGAAGGCTGAACTGAGCTTCTTGCGAATCAAAAACAAAAGAGGTGATCTGGAATCTGGACCACAAAATATCACAAATCTACAGCTCAGCGAACCTATGCGAACCTGAAGCTGGAGAATCCCGAAGAGTCAGCCTTCACGAGCCCGCTGCCCCACATGAACATGGCGATGGGGATTCCGGCTGCCAGCCTGCAGCCAAGGGCGTGCGTGGAGCAACGTGAGAATCCATGAAAGGTAGAGCATGTGTGACAGCAGTTGCGGGGCTAGGGTATGAAGGTGACAGCTGCCGGGTGCGTGCAGAACCGGCAGAGTCGCGCAACTGCTACCGAGTGCAGCTTCTGCATTCCAAGAGTTAGTCTGAAGTGATCTCTTCAACCACTCACGCTCGGAGGGTGTGACCGCTCATTACTTTGGGTCTTCAGGACCGGGCTCGCTTTGTGAGTCTTCAGTGACAATGCGGGATTAGGTTCAGCGCACGAGTTGTTGCGAATGAGGCCCGGCAAGAAACCCAGGATGAAACCGAAGGGTTGGTGCAGAATCGGGGGATAAACCAGCGAACTGGCTCACAAGAAGGTTTCAGGAAGATGCGAGCCAAACTTGGTCCCATCTAGGACATGGGGTTCCTGTGTCTCAGGAGAGGCTCTCGCAAGCAACTTTTAAAAGGGACAGCGAGCAACACGTACGTGCGCAGCCCTTTTGAAAAACAAGACAATCAGGACGCACACTGCATGACAGAAGTTACACCTCAAGGCTCCTGCAGTCAGAACATCAGAAAAAATCATACCGCTGACTCCTGACGCGCGACCAATCCCAAAGACCTCAAACATGGAGACGGCGAATCCTGGACGTTTTCTGTACCTTGAGCCTTGAGCGAAAGTTCCCTGCATTTCGCATCCTTCTGAGCAGTTTAATCATACAAACTGTGGATGCCAATCAAGGTCAGATGAATCTATGGCTAAGAGACGGACAGACACGTGGAGAAAAGCCCTTGAGATCCCACGAAGTTGCTATCAGAAGCAAAAGTAGTACATTTCATGTTCCAAAATCAATCATGAGAAGTCTTGGTGCGCAGCTGGAACCAGGAGACTGCCCAGTTTGCGTGGAAGACGTTCAGAAGCCTCAGGGTGGTCGCACAAAGATTTGCTATGATTTGCTCATCTGCCTCATAGCCCAACTTTGCTTAATTCGTCTGGCCTTCAGCTTTTGAACCCAATGCTCAAGCCCACATCAGGGAAGTGCTCAATTAAGAATTGAGTTCTGCACGACTCTTGGAATCCAATTTCCTCACTAGTTCCTTAGACTGAAAAGCGCATCCCCAAGACGGCGCATTCCCGCGCCAAACTGAGGCCCGCCTCTTGTTCTGGATGTTGTACTGAACCTGGTCTAGGCTGTTTAAGATCATGCTCGTGCTAGCGCGTTTTGGTATTATAGATGGAAATACTTCGTCGACCAGCTGGCTCGAGATGAAGCGCAAGAACAGTAAAGCCGGGCGTAGGAATTTGGCTGAAAATGAGATTCTCTTGAATGAAATGTGCAAGGAAATTCACCAACAGAAGCTTCTCTGGTGTTAAGTCTTGCGCATGCAAATGCTTGTAGAGATCTGGGCATTCCGGCGTTGAAGAAGTACCAGAGCCCTGCGTACACTGGCAGCTTGATCTTGTCCCAAAGCCCGCCCTGCACGTAGACAAGTTAAGGGGAGCTCTTGGTCTAGTGGTGTGTGTCAATGAGAAATTAACGGTGGTATTAGCTACACCTGCTCAGATGCAGGCTTCGGAAGCTGGAGTCCGTCAGACCCCTCAGATGTTTTTATCAGGAAATTTTCTACTTTGAGACGCATGCATTGAAGTTTTCTGGTCGAAGCTCTGCAGGATGGCGATTGAGCTGAAAAGCTGAAGCGTTCATGTACATCTTGGGGCACATCACGCGTTGTGATAGCTTGTGGTTACATTCCCATCTTAGCCATTTGGCCAACTATAGAGTTGGGCACTAAACTGATTCTCGGATGCTTTCGAGCCTTACAACCCTCCTCCCCTGTTTTTCCCGCCAGGGCAAACTTTGGCCCTGAAGCCAGCTCGGCAGCTTCTGAAGATTCACCTTCAGCGACACAAACAACTGGAACTGATCTTTCTTCCCGGGATGAATTTCGAATCACATTGAACATGTTGACGCTTGTTTTGCGCGTGTGGATCAGCAGCTTAGCACATACACATGCAAAGTATTGATCTCAGAGGAAGGTTGGGTGCACACCGGCACAGCCAGACACAATAGGCTTCATGCTTTGCCTTGACATCAGCTGCCAGCAAGCCTTCTAAACATGTCGGGGTGAAACTTCAAACACAACGTGACACCACACAGGAGTTGCCATCTGCCCTGCCCTTTCTGAGTTACGCGCCACTTTCACAGCGGCTTGGCAGAGGCTTTCGCTTTCACAGCAGCCCGGTCAAGGCCCAACTCCTCCGAAATGAGATGCTTCAGTCTCACATGCTGCTGCCATGTTTGCAGCTGCGGATGTTCGAGTGGGCATGCAAAGTTGGATGTGAAGCTGGATCAAGGGTCCAGCATGGTGGGCCCTGAGTACCTGAGTACCGTGTTCTCAAAGGAATTTGGGTGGGGCTCCAGCCCGCACAAATCTGCAACCAGGATCTCGTCATGTTACCCTCGGCCCGCCCAACATGAAAACAAAACACACCCTCCCCACGCGCTCCCTGGGTCTCTGAGGCTCTGATCACGCGCACCCAACAGGCTCACTCGACCAAGACCTCTTGTGGACGGATATCTGGGCTGCTGAACACGACCCAGCTCAACTCTTAAAGGAAGGGCATCCATAAACCTACCTCCTCAACAACTAAAATCTAAAACAACCAGCAATTACCTTCAGGAAAGGGAGTGATTATGAACAGCAGTATGGAGAGCCACCGGGCGAAAGCCGTGATCAACACCCGCAGGCCAAAGACATCCTGAAACCGTCCCAACTACTACTGCACATCATCCGTCAAGAAACCCTGTGAAATTCGGAGCCCAGGCCCGCCGGGTTCAGGAGCCCTGCAAAGTCCACTGCAATTTGCTCAGTACAAGGGGTCCCCTTCTTGCGCTTTCTCTCCTTCTTGTAAGACTCCCAGGTTGCGTCTACGTAAGCTTCTCGCTCAGCGCAGAAGTCTGCATGGACCCAGGCCATGCCATTGGCCTCAAGGTTTTGTATAGCAGGACTTCAACTTGGCTGAGAAACAAACAGTCCGATCAGATCGAAGACAGTTTCCTCTATACGTGACCGGAACAAAGACTGGCAGACAGCATGTGCTGCAAGCATGGAGTTCTCAAAGCAATCATTGTGCGCGGCCCCCGTCATGCTTTTCGGCGTTGGCCCTTTCACCACCATCTTGACTCTTGCTATGTCAGCATGGCTGCTCGAAGGTTGAGTGGTGAAGCCGGGCATGCTTGCTTTCTTCCCAGGAGCCTCGGCCAAGAGTTGCTCCCTGGGATTTGCCTTCGTTGGCTTCGGCGCACGCCGGCCACGGCCTTTGCACAAAATGGCTGAAGATTTTAGGCTTCCACGGCATAGGGATCTGGATGAGAACCGTGGTGGCTGGGACCGATTTCTGCAGTCAGGGTTAGGACAGGATGTACATGACTTGGCGACGCAGCAATTTCAAATCAAAAACGTCAAAGCATGTCTAAGCCTCTCATCTGGAAATTCAAAGGACGTCGCTGCAGGATGCAGAAGACCAGGGCTTGGCAACATCCAGATACTGCCACGACGGTTAGAGGCACGCGGCTCAGATGCTTCTTAGAGCTTGACATGGAAGAGGCCTGCTTAGAACTTGGGAAGGGCTGCTGCAGGCGTGCAGCCCCAACATCAGCAAAAACCAATGAATAAAAGAGCAATAACAGTTGAAGGCTATGCGAGCTGGACAACATGAGCTTTTCTAGTTCTGCCAGTTTGGCACACTCAGTGGCCCCTCATGCTGGTGAAGACGATGCCTCTGGCCGCTGCTATCTGCCAAACGCACACCCACTTCACGCACACGGAAGTACCAGTGAGTAAGCGCGGATGTTTTGCCACGACGGTCAAGCTGGAACATCCGAAGCACCCAAAGCCGCCGAACTTAAGCCTTATAATTTTCCGAGCATGCAACAAGCCATACAACTCCTGTTGCCTTTGAAAAGCACCCGCGCTGCGCCAGCAGCAACAAGGGCCTTGCAGCAGTCCCAGCAGGGTGCAAGCCTTGAAAAGAACGGCTTCAATCCAAAGCTTGAAAGAGGGGTTCCGCTGCAAAACTTTCAGGGTTGTCACACATATTGGGAAGTCTTGTGCTGGACCCGTCCACTTGGAAGGAAGCCTCCCTCTGGGTTCTCCAAAGAAGAACAACAAGAGCGTTCCCTTGTACGGCTGATTCAGAAATCCAAGCGGGATTGCAATTATGCTAATTGTGGGCCCACATCTGCCAGCGCAAGCGATGATGGATTACCCGGAAGTGTTCTGAACACCTGGTACAAGGAGCCTCTGGAATGTTGTGGCTTTGGTCTCAGCTCGCAATAGTTGGGGCAAGATTGCAATCACTGCAAGACTTATCAAACCATACAAACCCCTCAAGACGAAATGCAACACCTCTCTAGCCCTCCCTCCTCACACAGAGGCACATCAGCAAAGATGGGGGCCCAGCGCCACGTAGAACCAAGCGCCCTGTACAGCAATACCTTCGCGGGCGCAGCCTCAGCACCACAGACTAAAGTCCCAAGTAACATCCTGGATTGGCATAGAAGCTCTCTGAGTTGCAGTCCACGTTGCAACATTGCACAAGGGCTCACATGAAGGCATGAAAGAGCCTGGAGAAAAGGGCGTGTGTACAGACCCTAAAATACAATATAATGAACAAAAAGCTCTTTGTTGCAGGTTGCCTTCTGCAAGAATGCCACTGAAGGTTGTCTTGTAAGCATCGCTCTGAAGTCTCAAATCCACGACTTTCATTGCTGCTTATGCCACAGCATTAACACTAAGCCAGCAGGAAATAACAAAAGATGCTACTATTGCACCCATGTCGCAGCTGCAATGCCAAGTATTCGCGCCTACATCGCACGCCCTCATTCCAGAAAAATACACTGACAAAATCCACCTATCCATCCCTGAAACCAACAAGAGGTCCGCGTCCACTTCTTGCTGCACAAAGCAGCGGCCGATGATCTGCATCTCCTGGGTGCTCAAGAGTACAGTAAGTTTAGCAAGTTAAATGTGCCTGCGCTCGGATCATACAGGGTGTCCCGTGACAATTCAAGTCACCAGCCGCATTCGTGTCCAGGCACCGAGTGGATCTCATTGTTCGCGGCGCCCTGGCGCCAGTGCCGCACTCCCGGCACCTCTCTGGTCTTGGTGCGAAAACTGATGGCTACACGGAATTAACATGTACAGAACCTACCATGTGAACGCAGTCGCCGCAAGAAAAGAACGCCATGTTGCTAAATCCTTTCCGGGCTTCATCAGCTTTCCCTGCCTCAAAACAGGCATGCTACATGAGGCAGGATCCGACATTGGCTGCCGAATATGCAGACCCTATAGCCCTATATGCACAAGCACCACTCGCTGGGTATACACGACAAGGAGCCCTAGAACGCCCTACAAAAACTTAAGATCGGAGTCAACCGCGTAACCAACGCGAAACAGGACAGCAGGACTAGAGGGCGGGCGAAGGGGGAATTTCAGCAACACCAGACGGAATCAACCGGAGGAGGCCGGCTTTCTCAACCTCGAGCTGGATCCCAGCGCGGTCAGCCCATCGGGCAAGCACGCTCCCTACCAGCAGCACATGTACCAGTTTGCAAGAAAAACCTGTCCATGCCTAAACCCAAAACACAAAACCCCAAACCCTAAACCCCAAACCCTATACTATATAACTACATGGACCCTTGGAATAATATAAAAGTCATCCCATGAGCTCCCTCACATGCGGTCCTCCTTCTCCTCCAGAAGA